CTGTTATTGATATTAGTTTTCATTGTTAAAGACAATTCTGGTTACACAGGTTTCATTGTAGCATAAAAAGGGTTAGATCTAGTAAACACTTTAACATAGTACATGAAAATATAACAAATACAAAAAATATTTTAAGTTCGAAATATTACCGGAATACCACTTCTACGTTAATTGTTATGGTTTTTGTTAATAAAGATTAGTAAATTAGACATGCAAAACGTTAAATTAAAAAATATTTGATAAATTAACATGACATCAGTTAAAAATTATTTTTTCTTAATGGAAACAGTCTTTTTGGTTATTACTATAAACAAATATTTTTTAATGAAAAGATAACTCAGCAACATAGTTTTCTATTCTTCATATCTTTATTTTAAAACCAAGTGAAAAACTATTTTGTTCTCTTAAATAACATGTTCACTGCATTGCAGTGAACAATATTAGGAATATATGCATATTTTTCTATCTACTAACTAGATTGCTTGTTTCTCCTAGTCTCTAATTAATTGATTTTGCAAATTTATAAAAAATTCAGGAAAATGTAATAAAATAGGATTATAAGAGTAGTTCAAAAATCTAGGAAATATAAATTGTGTAAGTTAACCGACGAAATCGTATGCCTTTTTATGAGGCACTTAATAGTAATATTTTGTTTATGGACCAAGAAGTTACCTGCTTTCAGTATTATTCTAACTCGACATAAAAATGAAGACACTCCTAACTACCTCCTTAGACAATTACTTCAAGAAGCAGTAAATGCAACTCAGTACAATCAAGTTCTTTATGACTAAAGATGAAAAGAATACTGGCTGTGCTATCTGTACCGAAAACATAGCCTTAGCTCTACAACCACTTGCAGTATTCACACTGCAGAATTAGATGGTATCCGTAAAACTCTTGAAAATAGTTCTCCTAATACGAAATCTCTAGATATAGGCACTGATTCCCTTTCTTCAATTCAGTCTATTGCCAACATATACTCGTTAAATCCGATAGTCCAACTAATTCAATACATATGTCATTCAAACCACAGCAGAGGAACATCAATAACCATTCTTTGGACCCCGAAACTCGTTAAATCCAATAGTCCAACAAATTCAACACATCTGTCAATTAAACCACAGCAAACGAACGTCAACCACAAAACATTTGTACCCCATTTCTTGTAAGGATCAGTGGAAATGAATCAGCTTATATCGCAGCAAGAAAAGCAAGTTGTTCTGACTTACGCCTAGAAAAAATTTAACTTCATCAAGATCTAGCAGCAACTATAAAACAAAACACTCATACAATATGGTAAAATCATTTGAATGGACAAAACACAAAACTGCACATAATCAATCCCATTGTATACTGATTTGAGATACCTACAATGACTAGGAGGGACAAACTCATCATTCGAAGACTCCGAATAGGACACACTCATTTCATTCACGGAAACCTGATGACTTGTGAAAGCGCACCTGCTTATGAACATTATGATTCTCACCGCGTTACAGTAGAATACTTACTTGTTGAGTGCAGTTATTATAGAGTAGCGCATACTATAAACGGTAACCTAAAACAGATACTTAGTTTGCTAAATGTGTACAGCGCTCTAATTGACTTTTTAAAAGATTGCAGATTATAGTAAAATATTGTAACGTTGTTCTTAAAAAAAAAAAACAAAGTTTCTAACGCTATATTTTTCCAAATCTAATGTAACTTTTTGTATTTATCTCATATAATGTAATAATCTAATGACCATAGATGTGGAGACACGTTAATTTCAATAAAAAAAAATAATGTCATTGCACGCCAATCATTGCATCGACTCAGGTCTTCATTTTTAAGTATTTTATTATCAGTTCCTCTTTTCACTCATTTGGTATTTCTTCTCGTCAGCCATAACTTGTGTTATTTTATGCTTAATGCTCCTCGAATATTTCTTTGTGCTATTATTCTTGATAGGTTTTGTATGATTGTAAATTGTGCTCATAGGTCCGTTTTCTTACGCTGTTTTTTCAGATTAAAAAAAGTTAAAATCTCATTTATATAACTTCTTTTATCTTTTTTTTTTGCTTGTTTTTTTACTTCTGCGTTTTTTACCTTATATTTTCTTTCAAGTGGCTAATTTTCTTTGATTCTGTCTTTTATAGGATTTCTTTTTTAATTTTTTCCTTTTTTCTATCAGTTTTAAAGTATTTTTGTCCTTAGTCTTTGTCCTTTCTGTTCCCTTCTTGTGAAAAGGTGCAATTATACCTACATTCCAGTCTTCTGGCAACTTTATTTGCTTCTGGATCAGTTCTACCACTCTACGTATATATTATATCAGGTTTTTTAACCATGTTTTAAAAGTTTGCCCCAGGAGCTTTGTTTTTTCAATTTCTGTATAGATTGGATGACTTCTACCTCTGTTGGGATGTTATCTTTCTCCCTTTCATCGTCAATGTCCTCGAGTTGAATTTCTGATTCGTAGAGCCCTGTCTCACCTCTTATATTTAGCCTTTCCTCGAAGTTTTCTGCCCACCTTTCTAGTATCTGGTCATGATCACCAATGATCTCCCCTGTTCTATTTCTACTGATTGATAATCTTGGATTGAAATCTAGGTTTGTAGAACTTTTGCGTTTCTGCTTGTGCCTTATAGTTCTCTAGTTCTTGTAGTTGTCTCTCTATATGCTCTTTCTTCTTCTTTTTAAGTATTCCTTTTTCTTCTCGTCTCAGCTGCCTATACTGATCCTCTATTTTTGTCTCGTTCTTCGTCCTTGGAGTCTTCTATATGCCTGATTTTTTCTTTGCGTTGCTTTTTTTATGTTTTTGCTTTCCGATAACTTTAGTTGCCACTTCTTTTAATATGGCTCTACACTGTCTTTAATAGTTGTTAATATCTTCAACTATAACATCCGTGCAGCCTTCCAGCTTGCATTTGAGACTTTCCTTGAATCTCTTAACTATATCAGGGTTCTTAAACGCTTCTACTTTTAACCTTTCCTCTTTAACTCCTTTTTCTTTTTTTGCATTGTAGATTCTAGCTTTTAGCTTAGCTTGTAGTAGGTAATGTAAAACACAATTTTAAAGCTGCCAAACAGAATACTGTAAGGATCGACCTCAGATAACTTGGAATACTTATTTATAAAATAAAATAAAATTTGAATTAAGGTTTTCTTCAGAATAATTACTTGAGAATAATAATTATGATTGGGATCCAAAATTCGATTTTATAACCGGGACAAAAAACAACCATTAAAACCCGTTATTGCGAAGTAAAAAACCGGTTTTCAGTTAAAACCGGTAGGTTTTTTCATCCCTATTCCCTAGGTTTACACTCGTACTTAAAACATTAAAAGATATCAAGGAATTCTTATAATAGACACAAGCAAGCTTAAAGAAGCCAACTTAGAAGCATAATGCCTCCAACACAAACTGCGTATGAACTGCAGCAAACTGAACATCTCCACCAATGATAGTGAAAAGCACTGGGATTGACTAAAACTGTCTATTGGAAAAAGTGAATAACGTCCTTAACTCCTCTATAATTTTTCGAATCCAATTTGTCTACCTTTTGAAGAGTGGTATTAGGGTGCGTAATCTCCGTTCTTGTGGTATTTTGTTTTGATGTATTATCTTTTGGATCAGTTTTAATATTTGTTTGATCAGATCTGGTCCTTTGTACTTTAGCAGTTCGTTCACACAACAATGTGAAAGCGAAACCGGATTAATAATGAAATAGTAACCATGGCAAGAAATAAGGACAAGAGAAATGTTTTGTTTAATTTTATGACTTTTTCATAAGCCTGCTAAGATTTTTTAATCTACTTAAACAAACAAGCCAGTATGTGAGTTTGTCGTTCAGGTAATCCTTATGTTACTTTAAACAATCACTATACTACTGTATATAGTTTTGCCATTACAAAAGTAAATCTAAAATTAGACTACTACGTTAAATTTAAAGATTATTTTTATCACCCTTATGAAAGAACATGATCAAAGGAATTATATTTGATATAAAAATGATCATAAAGGAAAGATGATGATCTATGCGGTCATAACTCACTTTTATAAGAGAACATGATCAAAGAACATATTTAATATAAAAATGATCATAAAGAAAAGATGATGTTCAATGCGATAATAACTTTAACCAATAATATTTTTTAATTATTTTTTCTGTCTTTTACCTGAAGCTGGCCACTCACAACACAGCGGTGTCGTTCGACAAAATCGTCGATGATATCAATTCTGCAGTACTGCTTTATAGAAACCAGTTTCTATATATATAATTTTGTTGGATGCACGGTCACAGACGATCAAAATGTTTGTTAATTAGTCAAATTCGATAAAATTGAACGACGTCGCAGTATCGTGAGTGGCCGGCTTAAGGATCAGAACAATTACGTAACCATTAAGTATTTTCAATAATTAACTGTAAAGTACTTAAATAACTAATTACTAAATATTCCGCAAAGGTCGTATGATATTGCTGCTTATAGCTTCCGCTCAGCACCCATTCTAACAATATTATTTCCTATATCTTTAATCCTTTTGATTACCTTTCCAACTGTGTTAGTTCCTAAAATTACCTTAGCTCTTAGAACCGGTCCTATAGTAATAGCGACAGGCTATATCCTTTTTAATAATTAATTGTAAAGCACTTAAATATCTAATCACTAAAGCTTTTCCACAGTTCGTACTATAATTTTCCTATCACCGCTCTATATATCACCCGCCCTACATTTCCAATCCCTTTGTTTACCTGCCCAAAAATGTTAGTTCCTAAATTTATCGTAGCTGTAAGCCCCTGTCCTATACTATTAGCAAGGAATTATATCCCTTTTCTATAAAGCGTTTTTATTAATTGATTATAAAGCACTTAAATATGTAATCACTAGAGATTTCGCAAAGGGCGTACGATATTTTTTCTTATAGCCCCCGCAATTTCAGCACCCGTTCTAACCACCCTAGTCCCTATAGTTTCAATCCCCTTTATTACCTGTCCAAAAATGTTAGTTCCTAAACTTACCGTAGCTCTAAGCCCCTGTCCTATACTATTAGCGATTGGGTTATATCCAGGATTTGAATTTAATGGAGGAATGGGTGGCAACCAGACACGTGGAGTAGTATCAGACGTTGGTTTTGACGGTTCCTGACTCGTGTCATTGTCTGGTTTCGGTGATTCTGAAGTATCTTCATCTCCAAACCTATCGAAGATTATCATGGGAGTCACAGGTTCGGGAATTTTTGTCCAGTTGCTGTAAGTAGTGATGAACAGTTTTACATATTTGTCCTCTGGATCCCATTCAGCCTTGAGTAGCGCCCAAGTTTTTGGATATTCCTTCATTAATCGTTTGATAGTGCGCAGTGTGGTAGCTTTCTGTTTATCCGTACATCTTTTGCAATTTGTTTTTAAAGCGTCTGGTAGTATTTCTAAAATAAAATAAATATTAATATTCTAAAAGACTATTAAATAATATAGAGTGTGATACAGTGTAAACAAATCAACAGCATAGTAGATTCTATTAGAATTATTAATTAATCTATTAGATTATTAATTAAACAGCATAATATTACAACTTTGAATAAACTCCAATAAATATTACAGTAAAAATGATAATCATGATCTAGGTTGTGATGGCTCCTGACTCGTTTCATTGTCTGGTTTCGGTGATTCTGAAGTATCTTCATTTGTGTTTTTTAAGCGACTATGAACGTATCAGTGGGGTTGATATACGAAATTTTTGTATTTGAAATATTTATACTTTTGTAAAGGTTTTTGATGCATCTGTAACTCAAACATTATAGAAATTTATGTTGACTAGTTTCATTGACTATGAAAGACCAACTTGCTATTTCTCCTTAGATATCATTATACATTTTGTATTAAATTTCACACATTTTGTATTAAAGTTCATGTTTGCTTATTTCTGTATTACTAAAAAATGACTTTTGTTAGTGCTGATACCTTATACTGTGACTGTTGCATTGGAGCAATGTTCTCATTATACCACTAATGGAGAATGTTACTTGAGGGCAACATGTTCAAATTTCACTTTTTATACAAAAAGTTTATATATTAACCCCACTGATACGTTCATAGTCACTTAAAAAAACGCAAATTTTTAGATATTTATTTCAATGAATTTAAGGTGTGACAGTTACAGAGTTAAAAAATTAGAATTTTGTTGTTAGTAAGAAGTATTATTTTATGTTAAAATAAGTATACAAAAGTTAGATTCTTTGGTACACAAATACGTGTTGGGTTATTCCTATGTGATAATTTATTTTAGATAATCATTAAGTTAATGAGTTCTTGGTTAAAAACGTTTTTCAATTTACGTCAAATATATTTTGAATTGAACACTTTTAACAACAACTTGTTAGTTTTTGTTAATAACATCTTAATTTTGGTTTTTGATGAAAAATCTGGATACATTTCTACTTTAAAATAAACAGTAAAAAAGAACTCACGTTTAAATTTTAAGAGTTGCGCTAATATACAAGTAAACAGTTAGTGTAAAGATATTTTAGAGTTATTCAAACCATAGGATGACAGCCGCCCTTTTTACAAGATCCTTTAAGTACAAAATACTTTATGTCTAAAAGAGAGTGATTGCTAACATGTTAAAAAATGTTTTATGTTAAATAACCTAGAAATGTCTATAAGATCCTCTTTGTTACTTAAGTACATAGCTAATCCCAGATTAAAAATTTAAATAAGATAAGAATAAATCGTTAAATTTAATTGCGTTATTATTTAAAAAAATCTGTAATGCATAATAATAATTTTACAACGTGGAAGAACCAGTAAATATATCTAGTTTAACTGGCGCAAATGATGAAGAAATATAGTTGTTACTTATGAATGTTATCGGTATAACATAAAACAATAATCATGAAAATTTACTAATTGATAATAATAAAAATACTTAAAAATAATATTCATTCAATAGAGAATATTAGACAACAAATTTGATCAAATATCCATATAGATATAACTGGATTTACACGTCTTTCTCCCTTTTACTCGTAATTTGACAGATTATGTCAAAATAAAGGATCTCTAAATAAAAGTTCTCTGGTCTGTATTTAACTTAAATACAGGCATCGTGTATTTTATTAGTGAACAAAAATAAGGGACGCAAAACTGGGCATGCGTATATTTTAAAATAAAGGTGCTTTTATTACAAGACGACATAATACACTCTGCAATAACTATCTATTATTTATAAGTATCTATTACTTCCATTCAACTATCTCTATCAAAAATATGGTGCAAACTTTAATTGTTTATCGAAAACACTGTACTGTGTGAAATTGTACTGGCATAAAAACTGATATATTTAATAATTTAAAATTTAATTAAAAAAAAACTACGAAGAGAAATCCCAATCATACTTAATCATTTATAATGTGTTTCTTCAAACATTGATCTCCAATAAAATCGACCCAGCCGATCACATAAAACGAGATTTACGTTTCAAATTTGGATACGTTAATTATTTGAGTTATTGTACGTGAATTCTTCACCCGCCAGCCTCGGCAGTTTGTTACCGTCTTTGGGTCCACAGGTATATTATCATATATCAATCATTAAACAAAAGTCAGAAATTCGTAACAATCTCAACGTAGTGTATATCAGAAGAGCTTTACAAAGTAGTTTTAAATAAATCTCCCTTATTTTGTCCCAAATATTTTGTAGGCACATATTTAATATTTTTGCAGATATTTTAAATTGCAGTGGAGAAAGAGATATTTAATGTGTTAAATTTATTTACTTGTATCCTAAACCAGCATACAAAAAAAGTGGTACAGTATACGGTACTATAGACTAGCGCGAAGATTCATACTATGGTTTCTGTATGTTTAAAATTTAAACAATATTTTGAGAATTGAATAAAGTAATTTTATTAGTTTTTTTATATCATCATCATCATTGATGCTACAGCCCTATAAAAGAGCCTCAACCTTTTTAAGTTTATTACACCAGTCAGTTCTATCCATTGCCACCTTTTGCCAGTTTGCTGCGTCTATTTTTCTACCATCCTTATCTACATATACCATCCCTCCGTGTGAGTTTTGGCCTACCCCTACTTTTACTTCAAACAGGTTGTGAATATAAGGATTCTTCTAGAAGGGTTATTCTGCTGTAGTCTTGCCAGACGTCCTGCCCATCTTTGTCTTCCTATTTTTATAAGAGATACTACGTCTTTACCACCAAATATATGTTTATATCTGTGATATATCTCGTAGTTGTACCTCCTTCTCCAAACACCATATTCACAGATGCTACCGAATATTCGTCTCAGGATCCTTCGTTCAAATATAAGCAGAAGGCTTTCATCTGCTTGGAAATGGTCCATGTCTCCGATCCATATGTCAACGCTCTGGTTGTATAAGAATTTTGTATATGGTTATTTTTATTTTTTGGCTTAAGTTTCTGCTTCTTATATGTCTACTCAATCCAAAATAGCGTTTATTTGCAAGGATTATTCTTCGCTAGATTTCTTCCGTAATGACGTTCTCCATGGTGATCAGGGAGCTCAAGTATGTGAATTTGTCCACCACTTTAAAGGTAGAGATATTAACCGTGAATTGGTGGCTATATTTCTGGCTTTATTTTTGGGTGTTAATGCCATTCTGTTAGTTTTCTTCTCATTTACTTGCAGGTCTATATTTTTTGAGGCATTTGACAAGGTGGTATACATTTCTTTTGGCTTGCGTGTTGGATTTTTATATAGCTTTTTGTTATATGTTGTATAACGGACTCCGCTCGTCGCGTAAATGGACTTTTCCGACTGTTTACTGTGATTGAGAACCACGAACCACTATTTCGTTGTGCTACTTCCGTGACTCCCACCTCAGCAAGTTACTATAAAAAAAAGTAATAAAACACCAGCACAGAAGCTTCGCTTACAAAAAATAATAAAATTAAATAAAGAATTTGTTATTTTCATTGTAGACTGTGTACAAAATGAGCTCCTATAACGCCAACATAGACTTGAAGATGGTTTTTATATGATCTTATTACTTTTATAAATTAGACACTATGAGAAACCATTCGATACCATAAACCATCAGAAAATGTTAAAAGCATTGACAGAATGCCAAATATACCATCGCTACACTAACATAATCAAATATAGCTACCAAAATACCACAGCTAGCGTAAGACTATCTGAACAAGAAACAAATAAATTCTGTGCACAGCGAGGAGTACGGCAAGAAGACACAGTCTCTCCAAAGCTATTTACGATGCTTTTAGAACATACGTGTAAGAAGGCACATCTGAAGTAGTATGGTATCAACATAAATGGAGAGAAGCTTATTCATTTGAGATTTACAGATGACATCGTCTTTATAGCTGATTGTATGGATGATGCAATAATAATGTTTTAAAATTTAAATCACGCTTCCTTGGAAGTGAAACTAAAGATTAATATGAACAAGACGCAAACAATGACTAATCTGGTACTTAATCGAAATATTGCTGTAGATGAAAGGGATATTGTGCAGACTACATCGTATAAGTATCTAGGACATTAAATTCAGTTGGGCAGAGATAACCAGACATGTGAGCTCCCACGTCGCATAGGATTACCTTGGACAGCGTTTGTTAAATTAACCTATGTATTTAAATCGGATCTACCCATATGCCTCAAAGGGAAAATCTTTTACCAATGTGTGTTACCTATACTCACTTATAGAGCGGAAACCTTAACATTCACAAAAAAGGTAGTTAATAAGATTCGCTTGACTCAGATGACTGTGGAGCGCCAGATGTTGGCGCTCCCTCTCTAAAAGATCGAATCCCAAACGAAGAAATACGTCATAGAACAAAAACAACAGACTATATCGAAAAAATCGATATTAAAATGGAATTGGGCAGAACACGTCACCAGATTATCTGACAGCAGATAAACAAAACGTATTTTAGAGTGAAAACCAAGGCAAGAAACAATACGAAGCAGACGACGCTTACCAACTAGATATACTAACGATCTGAAGCGTGTTAGTAATAACTGACAGATGGAAAGAGCTAAGACCTATGTCCAGCAGTGGACGCATACAGGATGGTGATGATGATGATTACTTTTTGTAAGCAGTTGTGGCGTAATATTATGAAATACGTTTCTAATTCTGATCTTCATGTCATTAATTTTTGGAGATTCATAGTACACTAGATTTTTAAGATAGCCCCAGAAGAAAAAGTTTTACGTAATTCCGTCGATCTAGTTGGCCAATGAATTTGTTCTTCTGTTCCTATTCATTTCTTAGAAAATTGTTCATTTAGCTCACATTGGATAAATGCTTCGTGATGAGAAAGATGTAAATACCATGCTTGTTGACGGATTGCATGTTTTTGAGTAAAATATAATAACAAAAAATGTTTTGAACAAATTTTCTTTTGAGTCTTATAACCTGTTTATGATCATTTTACAAAAAAAAGATATCAAAGCAATATTAAATAGATAAATAACTGCAACTTTGTTTAATTCATTTAATTTCTCTGGGTTTTACAGCACTCTGAAGTTGACCGGGTTCTTGAATACTCATAGAAGATTACTCATACTCAATAATAGGATAAAAACGAAGCATTAGTCTTAGGTTTTTATAATAAATTGTTTTATTTACATAATATATTATTTTGTTAACATTCCTTTGGTATTATTATTTTATTATCTACCATTCTTTTCGACTACGTATGAGGTAGAGTCTAGATGCGCGTTTTTTAAGTGGTATTCCTATTATTGACAATTTCCAGGCGAGAAAATATTAAGCATAGTTTAGTACTTAAAAAGTTGTTTTTCATATATTGGTTTTTTCATTTTCTTTGATGGTTACCCCAGATCCTTAACTCAGGCTGCGGTTAAGGATGTAATTCAGTATCGAACGTGATTTTGTTTTAAAGAATGGAAGTTAGAGTTAGTGTCATTGTGGGTAATTCATCTTCAAATTCTTCGAATTTTTCGATTAATATTGATATTTCTATGATGTCACTGCATGTTTTACCAGAACAATTAAGTTAAATTGGAGAGCATTTAAGGCCTACTTTTCGGCAACTGTACATACTTTCATAGCTTCCCTTGATCCGTAAAAAATTAATTTCAGAAATTCATGGGGTGCTGGAGTTTTAATTGGTATTTAAATTTTTCCATGCCTTTTTAACCCCAATGTTCAGGATCACAATGTTTCCTGCTGACAAACATTCCGTATATTTTGTAAACATGATCAGGAGAAATTGTTGCCTGATGGCTATTAAAGAACCGTCTATGGCCAACATATATTATTACCGGAAGTACAATAACATCTTTAAAAAAATTACTTGTTCGTCGTAGATAAAGTATAATATGCAGCTCGTTACGGTTTCTGCACGTGTCACAGTCTTAAATCTATAAACAGAAAAATATTCCTGTCATGCTTGGCCTAAGGCCTTCTTCTTCGATACCTTGTACATTTATTGTTATCATCCATAATGGTTTGCGGCGTCCGTTGACAAACTTTTTCGTGGACGGGACTTTGTTACCATTGGTCGATGGCTTTGTTATGACATTAACTAAGGAAAAGAAGAAGAATTGACAGTTGACAAACGGTTCTGGTCTTAACTGAAGTTCATGCTCGACCGGTAAGCCGTGTGTCTTAAATGCGCCATACTCTGCTGTAGAGTACTGTCGAAACGAGCTGCATCTTGCAGTTGGAGGAAGAGATGATAAGTTATAATTTTGGTCACTATCTTGGCGAATCGTGTTATCTCATGCTGTTAGGGAATCATCTTTATTTCCGCCATATAAAAAGACAAAATAACGTTCGCCAACGACAGTAGGCAAAGATGACTCGGCTTTCTTACTGCGAAATAATGATATTTAGCTGGCTTACTTAGCATATTTCTGTAAAATTTCGATGAATTTAAGTTTGCCGATCTTCTAAGCTACTAATATTGTATCGCTTCCTAAAAAGTATATAAAAACAGCAAATAATCTGCAATATTGTCGCCATATATAAACTCAAAGGGCAGTATAATTGATGCGACTTATAGCCTTTTTAAGGTTTAAAAAAATTGGATACTTTGAACACACACATCGGGCTGCTTCCTTCCTAATGCCGTGACCAAGACAATAATATCAACGTCCTCTGCTGCAACAGTCACAAAATCATAGGCTTAGACTTCAGCAAGCGCAGAAGGGATGATGACTGTATCTGCATCAGATTCAGCGTGGTTTACACTAAAAAACACTTCTAATAGACCCATTTTGTGAATGTCTATTACGTTTGCTTAGTTGTTTTCATTACTAAGAAATTTACCTTAAAATAATATTGCTCTAATTAAACTTTATCTCTGCCTATTGTTGCTTTTTCGTGCGACGCAGGTGCACAAAGTGAGGTAAGTTTTATGGTGACGGAATGGGTCGATAATAAGTTAATAACAACATAGAAATGTTATGAAAATAATAAATGTATTCAACCCTCCGTTCATCGGGTGTGGTCTGTGAGTCTACGACAAAATAAAAATTTCTAAATAGCTGCTGCATGGCCGTTGGTCCTGACAGACCCCACCCGATCAAATGTGTAACAATATTTGCACTGCTTCTTAGTTGTATTTTTCTTGCAATCTTGTTTCACTTGGCAACCCTGTGCGTTTTTGTGAACTGGATTATTCGGTTGTTCCGAGATCATACGTCAGTTCACCGATAATTTTCTCTGTGGTCTGTGCGTCAGTTATGGATTAAAACTTGTTTGAAGTGGTTTACGATTGAAATCTCAAAACAAAGAAAATAGTAAAGTATATGAAAAGTGTTTACCGATTTTTGTAAAAAATCAATATAAGAATAATTTCATATTGATATTCGGTTGGATAAACATTATAAAGGTACGAACTAGCTGAATAATTGACTAATCTGATTTATTTGATAGAATATTGTATTTTAGCATTGTAAAATGGATCCTTATGAAGTGGAAATAGACGACTCTAACGACAATTCGATCGCGGATCCAGATTTTCTAGGGTCAGTGATTATGATACAGACACCGAGCAGAAAACTGAAGATAAGCAAATTCTAAATTAGAATGAAGTCGATAATGAAGAAAATGAAGAACAAATGGGTCATGACAGAAGCTTATATTTTTTTGGTAAAGACCGAACTACATGGAGAAAATTTGTCCCAACTAGACATAGTGACCCATTTACCTGGGGTTGTTGGTGAAGCGCGACACGCATTATCTTCCATTAAATGCTGGACGCACATGTTTGGTAACCGCATTGATATTATAGTTAAAAACAAGAATTTATACAAAAAAAATTCAGTTAGATATCAAAAAAAGGCTGAATGTAGACCTACTGACCCAGTAGAAATTCGATCACTGATCGGTTTATTGTATTCGGTTAGACTTAATCAAGCATCAAAAACAAATCTGGAAGAGTACTATTTGTCAAATTGTATGGGATATGAGATATTTCCTGCTAGATTGGCAAAACGTAGGTTTATATTTTTACTGAAGTGTATCCGTTTTGATGATACTACGACTCGAGACCAAAGAAAAGAAGTGGACAAATTGGCAGCAGTTTGTACTATCGTTAATAAGTTTAATGAAAATTGTAAGAAGAATTACTCATTGGGAGAGTTTGTGACTTTGGACGAAATGTTTCTTGCCTTTAGCGGTAAATGCAGTTATAAAATGTATATTCCCAACAAACCTAACAAATATGGGCTCAAAGTTTTTTCAGTTGTTGATGCCAAAACTTTCTTCACCTCGCACATTGAAATCTATGCTGCTATTCAACCCGATGACCTATATAAAGTTGACAGTTCTGCTGCTGCAGTAACTGAAAGAATGTGTTCACAGCTATCGGGTTCAGGAAGAAACATAATCATAGACCGTTGGTTCAAGGGATATGCAATTGCCAAGAAACTTTTAAAAGAACACTGACTTACCGTAATTTGTACAATTAGAGCCAACAGACGAGAAGTACCTGCAGAAATAACGTAAATTAAAAATAGGCAGGTATATTCTTCAGCTTTTGCATTTAGCAACGATATGACTGCCATATCATATATACTGAAGAAAGGAAAACATGTGATTGCTCTTTTCACTGTGCACAGAGATGATCGGATTGATGAAGATACTGATAAAGAAAAAACCAGAAATAATTACTGTTTATAATTTCACAAAGAGTGGAGTAGATGTTGTAGACAGAATGATCACATCATATAATGTTTCTAGAAATACGAAACGTTGGCCAATGGTAGTAGTTTATAATCTCCTTAATCTCGCAGCAATTAATGCATTTGTAATTTACAAAGGCAACAACACAGATAGAGAATTTTTCAAAACGCGAAGATTATTTCAAAAAAACCTAGGTATGGAATTGGTACAGGAGGGTATACGATGGAGAGTAGTTGACACGCATTTGACAAAAGCTGTGCGTGCTTCGACCTTGAGACTCTCGGGCATTGAGGTGGACGTTGTACCAGAACCCCGGCCAGGTAAGAGAGGAAATTATAAATGTTGCAAAAGACGCAAAACTCGCTTTTTTGCAAAATTTTCAAATCCTGGATATGTATAGACCACATATTGGCATGCTACAAAGATTGCTTAGAAAATTTGACCACCAAAGTTTGACTAATGTAGTTTGTGTCCAAAATTTAATTTTTCAGTTTATATATGTTTTTGCAGTTCTAACTAAAGTTTTAAATGGTTTTCTTTGTTTTTGAATTATTTAATCGCTGTTCACAAATTTGAAAAAATATGCGTTGAAATTGTAAACATTTTTAAAATTTACCTAATACAACTTAAACATTTTTTGGAATTGTTTCAGTAATAAAAATTATATAGTAAATGATTTGTTTAAAATACGTTGATGCGAAATTAGCAATAAAATGTATGCTGTTGCTCGGGAGGCGGTATTTCATTTTGGTCCTCACAGATCACACCCGATCGAAAGTGTTTCAGAATGGTCATCCGATGAACAGAGGGATAAAAAGACATGAATAAAAAATATATAATAGATAGACTACGACCAATTGTTCCTTTTTATCGTAGTCTTACGAGTAAGTAGCAAATTACATTCTAGACAATGTAATTTGCTAGTTTTAATGTCAAAATAATATAAAACTTAACTTTAATGAACCACTAATTCAAAATATTCCCATACATTATACCTTATCCAAAAAATCTAGATAAATTTTAATTTGAATTTAGACATGGTCTTAGAACAACGGAAGCTCTATATCGTATCTGAACTGTTAATATGTGGGAAGATATCTTTTCGTAAACTACCTTCATTCAATAAGGAAAAAAATCGTGTGAAAGGTGTCTTTACCTATATACATTTTTTTCTTTGTTTAATAAATAATTTTATTTACAATTTCAGATATTGGGATAAAAAAAACTACTCTGAGACACTGAGACATCAAGTGCGAGAGGTCAGTAACGGAGTTATAAGAAAATTCCATAGATGTTTGTCGGCAAATAAATAAAAATAAACATACCTGAATTACCTTGATTTCTTGGTGGAAGGTTAAGAATATTTTATCTTAAAAATAACATGTACCATTGTGAGAAACTTTTGTACAAAAAATATTGTTCGAAGATATTTATCTGTAAACATACACTGTCTTTGTTGCAATAAGTAAATATTATGTTACAGTATATTAAGTTTTTGACATTTAAATATAAATTAGCTCAAATATCACCAGAAATTTTATCTAATCGGATTAACTTTTAATTTTACGGGAACATTTGCTCTTTTTTGTAATATATATTTTTTTTAGTTATAATAATAGGCTACAAGAAACGTATTTGGCTCAAATGTCAACCGCGTAATAGCAGGAAAACTATAAGGCAAGAACAGGAATTAAGGAAATGTAGTTATACACCAAAATTAGCAGTCGCGAAGCCGTTTTACCAACAAATTGGCAAGATATGTATAATTTAATTACCTTACCTTTAATTTATTAAACATTAGAGCAGTGACCCTTAGGTTAAAGTTAAGATAATGCTTTAAGATGGCGATAGATTAGTAATCCATTAGCAAAGTAGTAATGGAACAGGTAAAAAGGTAGCATCGAAAAATAATAGGGTGGACAAGACTGCCAAATAAAATGACCATTGCAATATTAAACCATCAATAAAATATTAAGAGGTGATGAACGATTAATTGAAATAAAAGACGACATCAAAGGCAAAACCTGGGATGTAACATAATTATACTCTACGAAAATCAAATTATAAATGAAGAATATAACAATATTTCAGATATAAACCAGGGTAAAACAAAAATTGGTATCGTCCACTTCTAAAAACAAATAATGGATCCAAGTGTTGCTATGTCAGTGGTAACAAACAATTTCTAATTTTATCTAGGTCTACCGAGGTCACTTTTTCCGAGCAAATTATAAAGAAATTGCTGGTATAAAGCATTCAAAAGCTGTTTTTAATGATTGAAAACTGGTACCTAGAAATCCCTAGTTATCAGTCATTTAAAAGTGGGTTTTAGCTATCTAATAGAAATTTCGACGAAATTTTCCCTGATCCCTGATAGTTAAGGCAGTGATAATTTGAAAGTATAGTAACGTAGTCAGTGGCATATTGTATCAGCTGGTCGTATCTTTCGCATATTAGTCAGTGTTAGTTTAGTATTTAATCAAAGGGGTTGACGCATTTCTGGTTGTTTAAGAGTTTTAGACTCTCGCGTATTGAGTATAACTAGCTATTTGTATATAGCATATAGTTTAAATTCAGCACAACTGTCAAAAGAGCTTGCACATACCCTGGAGCAGATGTCCCTTCTGACCACGTACTATTAGTGGCCGCCATAACGATAGCACAACAAGTCTGAAACTCAACAAAAGATAGCACTGGACAAACTGAAAGACCCAATGATAC